CCACTCCCCTGGACATTCCCAACATGTTCAGCTTCTGGGAGGACCGGCAGGCAGCCCACCCTGCAGAGCCCCTGCAGCACATCTCGCTGGTGCACAGCTCGCGGGACGTGCCCCTGCACAGCGACTGCAGGCCCGGGCACATCGAGTCCAGGCTGGAGCTCCTGCAGGCCCAGCTCAGCAGGTGGGCAGGGGTGGAGAGGACCTGGGGACTCTGGGGCATCACCTTCTGCTTTCTAGAGGTGGCTGCAGTGGGACACTGCATTCCTGGGGAGGGTGAGAGCTCTTTGCAAATGCAGCGCCTTCTCAAAGGGCAGCTCCTGACCCTGACTGCAGCCCAGCCCCTCATCTGGGACCTGCCACCACCCTTGGCATCTGTCACCACCCCAGAACCTCCCTGACACTTTGGGTTCTGCTGCCCTTGTTGAGCTCATTTCACCACACACTTGTGTTTGGGTGTCTCTCCAGTGCACCATCCTAGGATCTGCCCACTCTGTCAGTGATGCTGTGACTGTGTCCTGCAAGTGGGGCTGTGCCCACTCCTGCCAGAGTTGTTCACTTTAAGGACAAGGCAGAAAGATTTCTACTTTTCTGTTTTCTTCTGTTCCTGAGTTAAAAGTGGTTGGCACTAACCTGCCTTGCTCCATCTGTCAGCACAGGCATCTGGCCTGGAGAATTGATCCAGATTAAAACTAACCATTGCGATTTTTTCCCCCCTCCAGGGTAATTTTAGCTTTTTTCAAATCCCCGCTCCAGATCCCAGTTTGGCTCCACATAAAATTGGGCAGAGGATGATTGAGTGTGGCAGGAGAGAGATGGCAGGATTGATCTCTCTCTAGCAGCGCTGGTTTGAAGCTCTCTAAAAACCTCAGCAAGCAGCAGGCAAAGCATCACTGCCCTGGGGTGGCGGGACTGGCACCTCCTCCCAGTGCAGGATGCAAAAGGGTTCTCTGGCTGCTCTGTCCCCAGGCTGGAGTCCAGGATGTCGTCAGACATTCATGTAATCCTGCAGCTCCTGCAGCGCCAGCTGTCCCAAGTGCCGCCCGCCTACAGCCCCATCTCGCCCAGCTCCCAGAGCCTGGCCATGTACGGCATCGTCCCGCGGAGCCTGGAGCCGCTCGCCCCCTGTGCAACGCTGCAGGACCAGGAGCTGCCCACCCAGGAGCAGGTAAGGGCACCCCAGTTGGCTCAGCACCCACCAGGTCCTTCTGCCCACCCAGGAGCAGGTAAGGGCACCCCAGTTGGCTCAGCACCCACCAGGTCCTTCTGCCCACCCAGGAGCAGGTAAGGGCACCCCAGTTGGCTCAGCACCCACCAGGTCCTTCTGCCCACCCAGGAGCAGGTAAGGGCACCCCAGTTGGCTCAGCACCCACCAGGTCCTTCTGCCCACCCAGGAGCAGGTAAGGGCACCCCAGTTGGCTCAGCACCCACCGGGTCCTTCTGCCCACCCAGGAGCAGGTAAGGGCACCCCAGCTGGCTCAGCACCCACCAGGGTCCTTCTGCCCCAATCCCGAGTTCTCTCCAGGCAAGGCACAGCCTTGCACACTCATGGGGCCCAGCAAAGCCACGGGGTCTTGACTTGGGAGCAGATCTGCCCAGTGCATCTCTGGTTTTGGGGCACAGCTGCCATCCCCAATGCCGCCAGGTTGTCCCATCAGTAGGGAAGAAAGTGGTTCCTCTGCTCTGAGGCTTCCTCAAGTGAAAAATAACATTTTGGGACTGGAGCCTGATGAGGAAAGAGTGTGGCTACTTTATTTTGCTTTTACCATCTCTCATACAATTCCTCGTTTCCCACCAGAGCCCAAGCTACACGGAGGTAGAAAAGTTCCACTTGAAATCCAGGGACTCCTTGTCAAGCGGGATGCAGCTGTCTGCGTCATCCGACAAAACCCTGACCGTCTACTCCGAGCAGGAGCACCACTCGCCACCTCTGCCCAGCCCAGAGCCTCCCCACCAAAGGGCACCAAGCACCCAGGGACTCTCGCGGGGCTCTCGTTTCCCTTCCCTCCCCGAGCACTTGGAGGCATCTTCCGAGCACCAGGACATTCAGAGACACCTCTCCGACCCCGTGCTTCCTGCAAGTTAGAGACGTGGGGGCCAGTCAAGAGGAACCTCAACTGCAAGCCCGGCCAGTTGATGTTGATTTTGACTGCAAGGGTAAGACATTGGACAATGCCATTGGCTCAGGGGTATAATTTGTAGCTGTCTTCTGCCACCGTGACGGGAAGGGTACAAGTGGCTGGCTTCCGAGGTCAACGTTTTCCAGCGGTTCCCATAGAGTAGATTTCATTTGCACATTAGAGAGAACCTAGAACAGTTCTTACAGCCACCACCGAGCTGGTTAGGCCGCGTGGTTCCCACCGCCTCCTCCTTGCCAAGGCTTCTTCTCGAGAAGGGCACAAGCCAAGCGAGCCACAGCAGCCACAGGAGAGCAAATCCAGGGCTCTGCCAGGCTGCTGTGCTGGAAACCTCTGGAGCAGGGACCACTGACAGGGACCCTTAAAGAAGGGTGGTCACCAGGGGAGGAGTGTGAGATCTCCACGGTGTGGTCCAGGGCAAACTGCAGGTGGCAAGCCCAGGACAAGGACAGAGGACAGAAGCTTGTCCTACTTGATTGCCACTGAGAAGTGAAGGGCCAGCAGCCCGTGCCACCTCAGCCTGCTTCAGCACGAGTCCCAGAGCACTGACTTCTCCAGCAAGGCTGATCACACCTTGCAAACCCCAACACGCATCCCACGGCTCCCCGGGTAAATCCAGCTCGTCACCGGACTGGACATAAAGCACAAAATTCAAAAGCACAATCCCAGAAAGCTGAAAAGCCCCGTGTCCAGTCCTCAATCCCAGGCTCTCTCTTTTGATAAGGGTTCCATAGGTGCTTCCCCCTGCCCACCCTTCTCTCCGCAGAGGCCGTAGGAGAAGCCCACGTAGCGCTGCCGCCTTGCCGCTCGCTCGGGTAAATGCTGTGATAGTCCTAGGCCGCCAGCTCAACTAATGTATCGAGCTCCCTCCGAGAGTAGTCAAACTGTGAGCAGCTCTTTCTCCGGAGTTTTAGTGTACACTTTGCTAATAAAGATGTTTTTGGCACCTAATGTGAATTACGGCTGTGTTGGTTGGGAGCATCCATGAATTCATCCCAGGTATCTTGGCCCCAAAAAGGTCAAGCCCAGGTTACTTCATGCAAGGAGTGTGGGACTGGCAAAGCCCACCTGCAGTCAGGTCAAATAAACACCATAAGTAACCTCTCGTTAATTAGAGATAAGCCCGGGCCCGTCCGCCGCTCGGCCAAGGCGGGATTCGAACTCGTGGCACACTCGAGCGCCTGAATGGCCCCACCCGCCTCGGGCTGGCGTGACTGACATCACTGCCAGCCAATCGATCATCGATAAGGGCTCAAGATCCCGCCTCCAGTCACTGCGACCCCGGGTAGCCAATAAGATGTCGACAATGAGAGGGCCCGCCCTCTTAGGCGGGGCCAAGCGCAGCCGTAGGTTGTCCCAGCCAGAGCGCGAGCGTCCGTTTGGAGTGAAGGGTAAAAAGACCAATAGAAAACCGAAACGGGCCGAGCGCACAGGCAGATTATCCAATAGGCAACCGGCGCTCTAAATGACAGTCAAGGCATCCAACCCGCGCGCAGTGGGCGGGGCTCCCCGCGTGGCTTCCGTTCCCGTTGTGTGAGAGGCCGAGTCCCAAACGGCCTCA